GATTAGAGCTGCTCAGGCCACGAGGGGAAAGGGGCTAACTAAGTGAGGTGATGGCTATTTCACTTTTTCAGTACAGTGACCATTACACTACGTAGACAGTCTGCCCTCTGAATTGGAGTGTTCCATATGGATTCAACCAACCATGGGTCAAAATATTTGGGGAAAAACAAAAAATAAAAATTAAAAATAATACAAATAAAAAACAAAACAGTGTAACAACTATTTATATATCATTTACATTGCAGCAGGTGGTATCAGTAATTCAGCGATGTACACAGGTTGTTCGTAAACACTACTCCATTTTATATAAGAGACTTGAGAATCTTCAGATTTCTGTACCTGGGGTGAGGGAATGGGGAGGCAGGACGAATGGTCCTGGAACCAATCTCCCCAGGTACTGGGACACAACTGACTCTACCTCATAATATCATCTTGCAGACCTTAAATACACACAAAATAATTTATTTTTCAAAACATATGGCAATTTTTTTTTGAGAGTTTTTGTCATAGAGCGCGTGCGCTCGCCAGCAAGAGACAGACAGAGAGACAGAAAGCGAGAAATCACCACCTGGGGGGACGGCCACGTCGCAATCCCTTCTCCTCCATTCTCCTCTCAGGATCTTGGGCACGCACGCACACCCGGCATGAGTTTTAAGCCACCGGGTCCAGGACTCAAACCATAGTCGACTACATGGGAGTCCAATGACAGCCATTACACCAACTGCTGGTCCCAACATATGGCATTTTAAAAGCAGTTCGAGTGTCTTTTCCCCAACTCTAAGTGAATAAAAAATGCTCATTACTTTCATAATAAGCTACTCTTGTGGGACCTAACCCATATGAGAATGAGAACTTCCTCCCTCCCAGGGTATTAATCTAGTCATAGGGGCATTGCCCCCATGATCCTAATACCATGCACTAACGCCATGCACATCTCCCAGGGGAGATGGCCACGCGACAATCCCTTCTCCTCCATTTATTCTCGGGATCTTGGGCACGCACGCACACCCGGCATGAGTTTTAAGCCACCGGGTCCAGGACTCGAACCACAGTCAGCTACATGGGAGTTCAGCAACATAGCCATTACACTAACTGCTGATCCCATCGGGTTTATACTCTTAAGGCAGAAGACTGGATGGGTCTTCTCTGGTGGACCCCCTTCAAAAAGGAAAGAGCTTGAGAAAATGTCCCAGCTATATGTTTAAGTGTACTGGTTTACTGTCCATAAGCCACGCTCGTAAACAGCTTTCAAATGACTTAATTCTCCATTCTTTTTTTTTTTTTTTAGAAATTTTTGCTATAGGGTGCATGCATTCATTGGAGAGACAGAGAGAAACAGAGAGACAGAAAGCAAGAAATCACCCCACCACCACCAGAGGAAATGGTCACGCTGCAATTCCATTTTCCTCTCAGGATTTTGGGCACACATGTCCATGTGCCCAGCGTTGAGTTTAAATCACCAGGTCCAGGACTCGAACTTCAGTCAGCCACTTAGAAGTCCAGCATCTTAACCACCATGCCATCTTCTGGCCCCCAAGTCTCCATTCTTAATTATCAGCACACAACAAAACAAAATACTGAAACTTTAAAAAAAAAAGTACAAAACTGGTCAGCCCCTTGACTTAGTGGGTAAGGGAGCCAGATTCAACATGGCTAACCACAATTCTAATCCTGTCCCAGCAGCTCGAAAAAGCACACGGAGTGTGCACATGCGTGCCAAACATCCTGCCGAATTAGAGATGAAGGGATTGTAGTGTGACCACGCCCCAGCGGGGGTGACCACGCCCTAGCGGGGATGACCACACCCTAGCGGGGATGCTTTCTCTCTCCTCTCTCTAGTCAGTGCAGGTGCCCGCCAGCAATTGAAAAATAGAAAAAATACACACACACACACACACACACACACACACACACACAGAGGAGAAAAACGGAACTTCTAAAAATTAAAAACAGAACATAAATGAAAAACTCAACAGAAGAGTTAGCAGAAAACATTAAGAAATTTTCCTATAAGCAGAGTAATGAAACAAAAAAAAAGGAAAAACAAAGAAGAAAATTAGAAAGGCACTCAAAGTATATTTTACCTTTAAATTGTATAGATGTTTTAAACATCTCACATATGTGATGTATTTCGCAATAACAAATGTTTAGTAATTAAAAAAAAAGGTGTGATGAATGCTAACTCATGTGGCTACATCAAGAAGATAAGGATCCAGGGCTGGCTCGGTGGCCTGGTAGTTAAGGCAGGCAGATCCCACAGGGCCAACTGTGTGGTTCAAGTCCTGGACTTGGAGGCAAACGTGCCAGGAGCACGTGTGGGTGCCCACGATTCTGAAAGGAGGGCGGGATGGAGGAGAAGGGATGGCAGCATGACCATTCAGGAGGACAGGGGCTTCCCTCTCCAGCTCTCTCTGGTGACCACACAAGCCTCCTAATACAGGGGAAAAAAACAATAAGGACTGAGACCTGACCCTGAGGATTAAGTAGCCCAAAGACAGGAGCAGTTTTGAACAATTTACACCAGCACCAAAGAACAAAGGTAACAGGAATAAAATAATGTGAATGTTCTTTATGCAGCGAACATGAAAGTATCTAAAAACATTAAGGAAACACACACATATTCTTGATTAAACAATTTAATACCGTGAAGACACTAACTGTCCCTGAATAGGGCTCTAGAATCAAGTAATCCCCTCCGAAATCCCCAAATGTTACAGCAGGATTTGCCAAGCTGAAGTTAAACTGTATTGAGTTTGGGGTAGGGAGGCAGGGACAGTGCCAAGAATACAGGGTGACTCTGAAGAACACTAGGATACTTACTGTTCCCTACTTGAGAAAAAGAAAACATTTTAAATTATTATAAATAACACAACAAATAAACCAATAGACAGAACAGAGACTCTTGGAATCTGACCCTATATTTAAAACTAATATGACAACTCTGACATTGTTTATCAGTAGAGGAAAGACAGACTATTCGATAAATCATGGTAGGACAACTGACAGAGGCCCATTTTATTCCACCTAAAAAAATGAAAAAGTAAATATAAAAGATAAATAAAAGGTCTTAGAAGGAAACACAGAGCAACTGCAGATAGCAGAGACAGTGCGGGAGGAAGGTGGACGGTGGGGAGGGGTGGAAGGGATGGAATCAAGGGATAAAAAAGAAGCAAAAAATTTAACACAAAAATGGAAAATTATCTGGTATTGATAATATATATGGTAATATCTTCGACTGGACTAAGACACAGAGTATCCATGTGGGGAAATCCATTTTGTTTGCTATAAAGATGTACAGTGATTGAACGTAAACAAATAAATAGGAAATAGAAAGTAAAAGAAAGGAAACACAGGGCGGAGAACACCATTATGACACTGGGGCAGGATGACAGAGACGACTCGTTTGTACCAACACCCTGTAGTATTCAGGGTATGCATAACAACTCCTCTTACAACACAGAGTGTACAGGGGAAAGATAGAATTCCTCCAAGTGTATATCAGTAGGGACATGGACAACCGTCTTCGGCTGTACTACAAAATCCGGATATCAAAATGAACTAGATACACATCTAGATACAGAACTGAATAAAAAAACAAACTACAGAAGCAAACATTCTATATTATCATTTACTTACAATGGTAAAAACACAAATTGTCTGTTTTATATGGATATATATAGGTAAAAGATTTTTAAAAATCTCAGGAAGTTTGTAACAGCTCTAGCAAGAGCAAACAGAAAGAGACTTCAGTTGCACTCACAGGATTGTGGGTGACTGGAGCATATGCTCTATTAAAAATACTTCATAATTCTGGAGCTGGCAGGTGGCACAGTGGTTAAGGTATTGGACTCTCACATGGCCAACTGTGACTCGAGTCTGGACCTGGTGGCTTGCTTTCTCACTCTCCCTCTCTCTCTGTGATCAAACTGAAGAATAATAAATTAAAATTTAAAAATACTTTATAATTTTGGGCCAGCAGGTGGAGTGGTAGTTAAGGTGCTGTATACTCCCACATGGCCAACCATGGTTCAAGTCCTGGGCCAGGTGGCTTGCTTTCTCACTTCCCTTCTCCCCCTCTCTCTGTGTCTCTCTCTAATCAGATTAAAAATAATTGAATGAATAAATAAAATTTTTAAAAATTCCCTTTTTTTTTCAGGAGAGTTATGTAATGTTTCATTTTTACTTACTAAGTTTTCTAAATGTACATTTTAAAATTTTTTTATTTAAATTTATTTATTTACATTCATTCACTGTACATTATCACAGCATACAACATGAGATTTCCCATCCAGAATACACTGTATATTGGCTCAATCAAGCACATCAACATACATGTTATCATCAACAAATAATTTTCCATTTCTTCTTTCCTGTATATTTTGCTTTTTTTCCCCATCCTTGATTCCCTATCTCTCACCCTCTGCTGTGTCCCACTCTCTCCTCCCACACTGTCTCTGATATCCATGGTTGCTTTATATGCCTTTCCCCCCCACTTTATTGATTTGCTAATGAAATTAATTAATCTGAATATTTCCAATAGCAAGCACAGCTTATATATACATATCCATGAACACAAGTCTGACTTTAGGCATAAACCTCAGTGAGTAGAATGAACATACTATAAAGTAGCACCTAGCTGGGGCTATATAGCTTACTGCAGTCATCAAATATGCATTTTCTTTTAATTTCAAGAAAAATAGTTTTCCTTTTTTTTTTTTACTCCTGAAACGTTTTTTTAATTAAATAATTTACATTCATCCCCTAAGCATCATCACAGCATACAAAATGTGGTTTCCCATCCAGAATATACTGAAGAGTGCCTTAATCATGCATGCTATCGTCAATAATTTTCCATTTCTAGTTTCATATATGTAGGGGTGTGTGTGTGTGTGTGTGTGTATGTATGTATATTCATAATCTTAAAGTCTGAATTACTTTTTGTAAAGAAAGAAAACCACTGCACTGAATAGTGTCAAAGGCGACCCCTGATCTGAGAGCGTAACTATAAACATTGTATCCTACCGCCAAAGTGTGAGCGTTCCCTCCATGGCCAACAGCACAGCAGAGGGCTCAGCCTGGAGATGACAACCTTCACATGGGCCAGCACAGAGCCCAGACTCTGCACCTACTGGGTAATTAGGGAAGTTGTGGACAAAAAACTGTAATAGAGCTCTGGATACGGACTTCTCCTGTGTATAGTCAATACTCAGTATGACTCAGTTATTAAAGTAAGCCTATCTCCAGCTTTTCTGACCCTATTCCTTTACCATCAAATCATGGTTATCTCTTTTTTAATGGTTTTGTTTAATTTCTCTCCTTCTCTCTTTTATTTATTTATTTATTTTTTGGGTGGGTTATCTGGTATCCTTCATTTTTCCAAAACACAATGATTATACTCAGTCAACTTGAATTCTAACTCTTATAAAAAAAAGTGTCTCCCCATATATTCATGATGCTTATTCCTGAATTTATGTAGGTATTTTTGGAAAGACATCCAAATTATTATTAAGACCCAGGATTTTTTCCCAAATGAGTTCTTCCTTTAATTCCTTCCCTTAATTTAGCTTATTGTGCTGGCTCCTCTCTTCCCTTCTGTTTGGGTACAAACAGAATTTGAGATCATTTCATGTACCTTTAGAATCCGAAATTAGTTTTACAGAAGAGGATTTGGACAGATTTTAGAAAGGTAGGTATATAGTTCTGAAAATTCAAGAAAGTGTGATATAAAGGTTAAAAAAATGCTGGTTTAGTAAATTAAGAAATATAATGTGTACAAGTAGAAAAGATTCTCACATGAGTGGTCTGACGAGATGTTGTGTGGAACCAAAACAAAGTCATCCGTGTCACAAGAAGAGTTCTTGCTACTAGTACTGGCAGAGTCTTTGGACACTTGCAGATAGTTGGGAGGCCCCAACGGTGGGGAAGATAAGTTTTCTTCCTGAATATGCTGCATATCTGGAAGGGACTAAAATTAACAACATAAAATTAAAACTGGCCTAGTAACCAAATGCAAGAAAGAATAGCCATTAGACTGAGAAATATTTTTTTCCCCCACAAAAGTGGGCATAAAGTTCAATTCCATTTAAGACTTCAAAAAAGTCTCTTTGGAAAATCTTTTAGAAAAACACAGTTTAACAGCGTTTGCATCAAGACTTCTAAAATACTTTCTAAAAGTGATACTTAAAATATATCATACCACTTATCACGTGCACCTTCCTATCTCTCCTGAAGTTTTTAAAAAGGTGAGTTATTTATTTATTATTATTTTGACCACAGGGCATGTGTGCTTGCCAAAAAGAAAGAAATAGAGACATTGAGAGGTAAAGTGAGGAATCAACCCCCATCTCCGGGCGATGGCCACACTGCAATCCCTTTTCCTCCAACCTCCCCAGGGTTTTGGGCACGCATGCACATGCGCCTATAATGTCAAGGCCCAGGACTCGAGCCATAGTCAGCCATGTTGGAGCCCAACACCTTAACCACCATGCAACCTGCTGGCCCTGAGAAGGTGAGTTTTTAATCACTGAAACATCCTGGCGCAGCTCGTGGCCTGGCAAAGCGGATACTAACTGTTCACTCCATGATTGTACACACATGTCCAGGGACTTTAAATTAATGACCCCCTGTACACGTGTACTCATAGAGAGACAGATTTGGAAAACCTTAGTGTTTCTTTTGTTTTGTTAGGGAGGAGCAAGTTTAGGACAGGAAGGGAAGAAAGGCATATGAAGAAGTGTATTTAAACACCTAGGCTAACTAGCCATACATCTCTCTGCATTTGCCTAGTCCAAGGACTCAGAGCCAAATGGCTTTCTGAAGCAATCAGCTTCATAACCTATGATGTTATGTTCATAACCTATTACATTACCCTGTTTAATCTTTGGTTCTATTTAAGAAGAAACATTACACCGTGTTCTTTAAACGCAGGTCTTCAATTCCAGATCACTGCTGCTCCTTTTACTGTCACTGTGCACTCATGGCTGTCTGTGTGTGTGACACCCCTAACATAAAATCTCCTTACCACTCTTCTTTCTTTCTTTAGTTTTTTGTTTGTTTTTGTGATAGGGCATGTGTGCTCGCTGGAGAGAGAAAGAGAGAGGGAAAGTGGGGAAAACACTCCCCCAGGGGTGGGGGTGGAGGTGGGGAGGTGGCTACACCGCAATCCCTTCTCCTCCATTCTTCTCTTGGGATTTTGGGCATGCACGCGCATGCGCCAGGCACGATTTTCAAGTGGCTGGGTCCAGGACTCAAACCGTGCCTTGCCACGTGGGAGCCCAGCACCTTAACCACCTGCTGGCGCCTCAGTACCACTATTTGAAGGGGTGGGAGACCAGGGACTAATGTTGCTGAGCAGCGCCTGCCTGCGGCCGGGCCCAAGAGCCTCCCCTGTGTTGTCTGGCTTCAGTCCTACCTATCTCCATTCCGCAAACAAGCCAAGCTCTGATGCCTAGGGAATCTGCCCAGATAACACAATCAGAACACGGCTAAGTGGAGGTGAGCCTCCAGTTTCCTTCCTGTAGTTTAGGTGGGAACTTCCTAAACTTCTTCCCCTCCTATTTATAAATCACCTGCATCACAGCCATCATGGCCCTCCTTCCTTATCTCGGTGGAGGAAACACCGCTTCCCATTCAAAGCCGCTCTCCCCCGTCCTCCAGGACCCAGGCCACGTCCCCTCGGCTCCTGACAGTTTCCCTCTCTCCCTTTATTCTGGCCCTTTCCCCTCTGCACATAAACATGTCTGATTTTCTCACATCTCGAATCCCTCCACTCCTCCCCAGTTTTCATGATTTAAGCTACTCACCTTCCATATGCCCCTTACTCCACTGTAATCCACTTTCTGCCTTCAAAACAACAAAGCTGCCTTGATGAAGCTTACCGATAGTTCCCACTGCCCAGCCCAGCAGAGGCATCCTCGATCCTGAAAGTCTGAACTCCCAGCTACACCTGCACCGTGGACCAAGCCTGTCCTGACACTCTCCCTCTGTGGCAAGCACTCCCACTCTCTCATTTCCCTCCTCCTTGGGGACTCTTGGGTCTCTTTTCTGGGCACACACTTCTCGTTTGCCCCTTACAGATAAAGAGAAGGGCAGTACAGAATTCCCCAACGTGCTACAGTGAGTCTTCTCCACACCTCACTCTTGACAACCACCCTGGAGACAACTCTACCCTCCGACTTCAACTACCGCTTAGGAGTGTCGCTGCTCCAACGGGCCCATGGGCCTCTGCTCCTCTGCCTGGACACGTACCCAGCCCACACGGCCCTGCTCCGGCACTGGCTCCAAAGCACTGCTCTCATGGAGCCATCCACGCAGTCAGCAACCAGGCCGCCCTCCTCCCAAGTCCCACGCCTGAAGAACCTCCAAGGCGAGGAACCAGCAGTTAGCGTAATGGCTATGTCACTGGATTCCCACGTAGTCGACCACGGTTCGCATCCCGGACCCAGTGGCTTAGAACTCACGCCGGGCGCGTGTGCGTGCGTGCCCAAGATCCCAAGAGGAGAATGGAGGAGAAGGGATTGCGGTGTGACCATCCCCCCTGGGGGGTGATTTCTCGCTTTCTGTCTCTATGTCTCTCTCTGGCAAGCGCACGTGCCCTATAGCAAAAACCTCTCCAAAAAAAAAAGAAAGAAAGAAATATTGTTATAGGAAAAGCTATCGTCTTTTTACTGTTGGGCACGATGTTAGTTATGGACTTATTTTGTATTTTATCATGTGAAAGTGCCTTCTTTCTGTACCTCCTTTGTTGAAATCTTTTTGTCATGAAAAGATGCTTAATTTTGTCCAATGCTTTCTTTGCCTCTATTGAGATGATCATATGACTTTTGTCCTTCATTCTGTTAATGCAACGTATCACACTAATTCATTTGCGTATGTTAAACATTCTTGGACTTCAAGGATAAATCCATTTGATCATGGTGTGTGATCCCTTTAATGTGCCATTGAATCAGTTTGCTAGTAGACATGGTCATATAATTTTCTTTTCTCATGACATCCTTATCTGGCTTTGGTATAAGGATAATGGTGGAAAGCGCACGGTCCCTATAGAAAAAAAAAAAAAAAAAAAAAAAAACTCTCAAAGAAAAAAAAAAGAACCTCCAAGGTGAGCGAGCTCTTCCGTTCTCATACGTGGCCCCCCTTCTCCTTGCCTACTGCTACCTTAGCTCAGGCCCTCATCATCAAAACGACGATGATGATAAAGGCTGCATCCGTATCCAGGTAAACCCTTTCCTCTCAAAGAGAGACTTCTCCATAACCTCTCTCCAGTCTAGGTCTCCACGCTGCTCCTTCGGGCAGATCCAGCTAAAGCACAGGGTAGCATACCACTCTTACCTAACATCATTCACATGGCTCACTCAAGTTCCTCTCCTCCGCTCACAGACCTCAACAAGATACATACAGCCTCAGGGCCAGCAGATGGCGTAATGGTTGTGTTGCTGGACTCCCACATGGTCTACCATGGCTCGAGTCCTGGTCCTGGAGGCTTAGAAAAACTCAAGCCAGGAGAGAGTGAGTGCATGCCCAAAATCCTGAGAGGAGAAGAGATTATGGCATGGCCATCCCCTGGGGGGGTGGGGGGAGTGATTTCTTGTTTTCTTTCTCCTTGTCTCTGTCTCTCCGGTGAATGCACGCATCCTATAGCAAAAATCTCTCTTTAAAAAAAAAATATAGCCTCTGCCTGCCGGTCTGGGCTGGCATCTCCGCCATTACAACGCCAGGGCTCACCATCCATCAGACTCAATTCTGGAGAACAGTCTCATTCTTTTGGCACTGATGAGAAATTTTCATATAGGAGCTGCCCAGTTTGGTAGCTGGTCCTGGAGTGTAGTGGTGAAAGGAACCAGATCCCACCTGGCCAACCACAGTTCAAATCCTAGCCCTGGTGGCTTGAAAAACACTCCAGGTACATGTCCCAAATTCTGACGGAATGGAGAAACAGAGAAGGGATGTAGTGTGACCACACTCCAGCGAGGGGAGCTTTCTCCCCTTTCTCTCTGCTGGTCCCTCTCCAGTGAGTGCACGTGCCATCTGGTAATTAAAACCGAGACCTCAGTTCAGGTTGGTTTCCTTTCTCTGAGTGTTCCAACTTTCCTTTTTCTTCTGATTTTTTTTTTTTTACTTAGAATATTGGTTTTTAATAAAGCTCTCCTAAAAATGGTTTTTCTCCCGAAGGTGAGAGCATTGAAGGCATCGAGACATGCCCTCTGCCCCACCTCAGTCCCGGTGGAGCTCGCTGCTCTTCCCTGCAGCCCGGAGTCTAGCTTTGTTCTCCCCCTGTGCCTCCACCCCATTCAGCTCTGCCCTATTCAGCAGAAGTCCCAACTGGGCTCTCTCCAGAGAGCAGATTTCCCGTTCAATGCCCTCTACTAGCCTCTCTCCCTCACCCCTCCGCCATCCCACAGGCTCCCCACTCCTACTTGCCTACAATTAGCCTCCTCCCTGTGGCTCCTTTCTCCAGCATAAGCTTTGCTTCTCATACGAAGCCTCACACTGTGTCTAATATACACTCAGTAGCAACAGCTACAGGGCGGGCTCAGTAACGCATGCTCAAGCAATGCTAGTCCGCATGGGAGATAACAGGTTCGGTTCCCCAGTCGACCTGTAGATGCTGAGTACAAGCATCCAATGATCATGGCTGGCTGGGAAGGCTGGAGGGGGTTGGGGCACGAGGTATGAGACTGTGCCGAGGGTGCCTGTCTCTCTCTCTTTCACTCATGAAACAAACTATTAAACAGCATAGCTTATCAAGTGGCGAGGCACTTGCCACACTGTACCACCACTACTACCCTCCAGGCAAAGGTAATCAGGCCATGTTAGAGGTGAACCCCCGCTCAGCTCCCTAACTGGGCTACCCCAAGTGACCACGTAAGCAAGCACCAGAACCCAAGACGACGGCTCTCAGTTTTTCTAACTCATGGGAATACAACATGAGTCTTATCCACACATTTGCTTGTTCTGTTTGGCTCGAGTTTGCGGGATTCTGCAAGAAGGTATCTTTATTTGTATGTATGTTTTAGTTTTTGCTATAGGGCATGTGCGCTCACCAGAGAGAGACAGAAAGAAAGAGAGCAATCACCTCCCAGGGGATGGCCATGCCACTGTCACCTCTCCCCCCCCCTCAGAATTTTGGGTATGCACACACATGCTGGCAGTTGGACTCGAACCTCACAGTCGGCCATGTGGGATCTAGCACTTTAACCTCTACCCTATATGTAGCTTGCAGGAAGGTATTTTGTTAGTTTTAAGACTGACACCCACTCATCCCCAACCCCCAGTTTAGACTGACTGCTTGCATGCCGGCTTTACCTAGGGGTTATCAGGTTTCCCTAGAAAGTAACACCAGTACTTGCCACAGCCTGGGTACGGTGTGCGCCAGATGCTAGTGAGTACTTGTGCTCACGTGCCCTTAAAGAATCCTACAAAGTTGGTAAATCACACTCACTTATGTTTGAGGAAACCGGCTCAGAGAGATTAAGTCACTTGTCCTAGTTTACAGAGCAAGTAAGGGATGCTGAAGCTCCGAAGCCACATCCTCTTAAACCTCAAGTTGCCTCAACTAGCTAATCACACAGTTGCCTCCCTTTATGGCTCCCTCATCTTCCCGCCCGTCGAGTTCAGGAAATTCAGGTCTGCCAAGCTAATCTGGAGAATACAACAGTGGATAGAAGAGTCGCTGGGTTTCAGCCTGTGCAAAAGCCTCAAGGTTGTTCACCGCCCTTCCAGGCTGCACTAGACATACGGGAAGGGACAGTCCAGAAAGTCCAGAGGCACCAGGTAAAGCCCTGAGAGGGTAGGGAGGAGAAGCCACCAGAGCGACCTCAGGATCAGGAGGAAGCCCTGAGATGGGAGGGAACGCAGCCATGGAGGTAATGGCTTGGGGATTTTAGGGAAGGAAGAGATCTGAGTAGGAGCCACCTTAAAGGGCCAGCGAGCATGGTGAAGAGTCAGTGAGGTCTAGCTCAGAGCGCATTCCTCCACCACTGGAAACCCTGTGGACAGATATATCCAAGCTGACCTTTACAGCACTCAGGTTGGATAAGCATCTGCTGCCCATCCACCTGTAGAAGGTGCTCTCAGTAAGTATCCTCACCAAAGAGGTGATAACAAGGTGACAGAACTCACGGATCAGAGAACAAGGCCCAGGGGGTGACATTTCTTGCCTCTGTGGACACAGGTGAGCAAGGGGAGAGGTGCAGATGGAGGTCCCCCTGGTCCAACTCGGACACCTGGCTCTCCCACACCTCGGCTGCACTGGGGATCACTCGGCACGAGGACAGTCACCCCGCACTTGGGAACACACATAACAGCTCTAACTCTGAAATTATTTTTAATAAAACCAGAACTTACTGGTGGAGAAGCGAAACGACAAGATGGAGAGCTGCCACAGGAGCTTCCAGAGACAGCGCCGGCGTACACGGGCACTGGGACAGGGCAGGCTGGGGACAGAGGAACAACTGCATCAAAAGACCCCATCTCTGTGTTCACGGCACCGCACACTCCAACAGCGCAGTTCTCACCAGGGGACTAACAGGGCAGCAACTACTCACACCACCTCAGCATGGATTTAAAAGGAAAACAGAACTACTATTAAATAATACCGTACTAGGGACCTAAGAGGAGTTCGATGACATCTTGAAAAGTAAAAAATGAATTTTGTAATAGAAAGTCTAATATCTCTTTATGCTTGTATTTATTCTGAGTAAAAATGCAAAAACCGGGTACTTACATTTCTTTACTGGAACTTGCTCAAGAAAAGGATGGTTAAAAAATGCTTCTGTAATAAAAAAATGAGAATGCAATCTTCAAACACTAACATTCATCTTCTCAATGTATTCAATACAATGTTTTTGAGATCAAAATAATTATCAGTTTCTTTATACAGACTACTTAAATGTAAAAACAGCACAATTTTTATAAATTATCTATAAAATGATTATAACTTTTGACAGATTTTAAATAAACATTGTGAACTCTCAGAACCTCCATCATCATAGAACAGACTCCTAGGCCGCTCGGGGAGGCAGGTTCCTGGCTGTGTGCCACCCTCGGGCAGCCGCGAGAACTGTGGTCACAAAGCCCTAACTGAAGCACACCCCTACATTACTGTTGTAGCTGATGTCCTGAAAGGAAATCAAGGCAGCTGATTCTGTGTAACAAGTGCTGGCCTTCTAGCCCAGAAAATGTACTCCTACAGCTGTTGTCACGTTTTTAGAAGAACCATTAATTTTCTTTAATGTCTTTAGTTATCCACCAGGCTAAACACTGCACAATAAGCTGCTAATACAGATAATTATTCAGTAAGTGGGCACACGGAAGATCATTATTCTAAATATTTTTTTAATAAATGATTTAATTTTATTTATTTATTTATTTTTATTTGAACAGAAAGGGACAGTGAGAGAGAAAGGGAAAGTGACAAAGCAAGCTGCCAGGTCAGTGACTTGAACCATGGTCGGCCATGTGGGAATTCAGTGTCTTAACCACTACACCACTTGCTGGCCCCTATTTTAAATATTCTTTACTTTCCTGTACGTTAAAAGGATTTCATTATTTCCTTAAAAACCCGCAAAGACAACCTCATTTATCATCTAATCTCAGAGTTTTTATTTTTTATTTTCTTAAGTTTATTTATCTATTTCTTCCATGAGCAAGAAAGACAGAGGGAGACCAGCAGATGGTATAGTGGTTAGGTCACTGGACTCCCATGTAGTTGACCATGGTTCCAGTCCTGGACCCAGTGGCTTAAAACTCACAGCAGGAGCATGTGTATGCATGCTCAAAATCCCCAAGAGGAGATGAATGAGAAGGGACTGCTGCGTGACCACCCCCCTGGGAGGTGATTTTTCACTTCCTGTCTTTGTGTCTCTCTGGTGAACGCATGCATCCTATAGCAAAAATCTCTTCTCTCTCAAAAAATAAAAAGACAGACAGAGTGAGAGAGACGCACTCCCAGCAAATCCCAATACTGCAATCTAACCTCCAGCCTCAGCCAACCTGAATCAGGGGCACATGAACACCTGGCATACTTATGAAGGACTCTAGGCTTGAACAAGGAACCTTCTCATGCGGGTCAGCCTCACAGAGGGGGGCCATTTTACTGTCTGGTCGCTAGTCTGAGACTTTTATGATATTCATTATTTTAGAGCTATTAGAGAAGCACAGTACTAACATGGAGGTTTATTTATTTTTAAAATTTTTGCATATTTATTTATTTATCTATCTATATATTTGTTGTGAGTTTCAAGCCACCAAATCTGGGTCTTAAAAACTATGGTCTGCCACGTGGGAATCCAGCACCCTACCCACCATGCCACCTGCTAATTTAAACATGGAGGTTTAAATTAAGTAATACAAGATGAGGAATAAGCTTAACTCAGGTTTGATCTAAATTCTCTTCTACTCTGAAAGATCACTTAAGTTCCAAATCCAAAGCTTCTCAGTGCAGTTATCAGTCACAAGACATAATAATACATGGGACCAACAGTTAGCGTAATGACTATGTCGCTGGACTCCCACGTAGTCGACTGCGGTTCGAGTCCTGGACCTGGTGGCTTAAACTCACACCGGGCACATGTGTGTGCGTGCCCAAGATCCCGAGAGGAGAATGGAGGAGAAGGGATTGCGGCATGGCCATCCCCCCAGGGGGTGATTTCTTGCTTTCTGTCTCTCTGTCTCTGTCTGTCTGGCGAGTGCACGTGCCCTATAGCAAAAACCTCTCAGAAAAAAAAGACATAATAATACAAATGTAGAGGGCTTTGAAGGGAAACATGAGCTATCTAATATAGATCTTTGCGAGAACAAAAAGTAATACACATATGTACATAATTCCAGTTTGACATGTAAGGTTGTTCATGATGATTTTTTAAGAGAGGTTTTTGCTATAGGGCACATGCACTCACCAGAAGGACAGAGACAAACGGAAAGCAAGAGATCATCTGCCCGGGGGATGGCCACGCCACAATCCCTTCTCCTCCATTCTCCTCTCGGGATCTTGGGCACACACGCACACATGCCTGGGGGAGTTTTAAGCTACTTGGTCTGGGACATGAACCAGCCAACTACATGGGAGTCTAGTGACATAACCATTATACCATCTGCCGGTCCCTGTTTATGATGATTTTTACAAAAGACATAATAGGGATAAAACAAAAGATAGAAGAGAACTACACCGACTGCAAGCCCTCTTTGAGGATGACTCACATGCGAAGGTTTTGGGTTCACATTTGGAAACCTCCCTGAATCCACCAGGCATACTCATGCCCATGTCCTGAGCTACCTGAGGCTAGAGGTGAATCACAGTGTCAACAACTTGTTGGAGATGCTGTCTCTCTGCCTATTACTTACTCATAGAAAAATTAAATTTAAAAAGAAATTATTTTTAAGTGCTACAGAGGCTAGCAGGTTAAGATGCTAGACTTTCACATGGCTGACCATGGTTCAAGTTCCAGACCTGGCACCAGGTGTGTGTGCATGTGTGCCCAAAATCCCGAGAGGAAAAAGGACATGAGACTGTGGTGTGGCCGTACCTCTGGGGGGTGATTTCTCTATCTCTCCGGGGAGCACATGCACCCTATGGCAAACACTTCCCAAAAAAGGTGCTGCAGGGTCACCTCCATACGCAGTGGTCATGTCCTGCTCGAAAGGAGGTGGAACCCACATGGTGATCATGCCCACCCTGGTCGGCCTGAAACACACATGCAAGCAAGCGTCCAGGATCTGACAGGCTGGAGGACTGGAGGAAGGCGACAGTGGTGCGATCAGACCCTATGAAAGGTGCTCATAACTCTCTCTCTCCATCTGCATGCATGTGCTATAAAAAGACGACACGCAGCATTACAGAAGCACAGCACCTGACAGACCCAGGGAAACCAGGTCTGCATTCTGAATTTGACACACATTTTGGAAATGTTTTGTTCCTTACCATAACAAGAGTAGCATGTGTTATTAGGGAAGATATAGCAACTGCTTAACGATTCTTATTTAGTAAGAAGTAAATTTAAAATATATTCTGGACAAGGGCCAGCAGGTGATATAGCATAGTGGTTAAAGGCACTAGACTCCCACATGGCCAGCCACGGTTCAAGTCCTGGACCTAGTGGCTTGCTTTCTCACTTTCTCTCTTTCTGTATCTCTCTAATCAAATTGGAAAATAATAAGAACAAATAAAGTTAAAATAAAAACAATTCTCTAAAAAATATTCTAGACAAGTTTTTTTCCATTTCAACGTACTTTTTCTCTGCTTTTAGAACTTTACATTTAGAACCTTCTTTCTAATCATACGATTCCATCTTCTCAGTAATACAAAGTCAGAGAATTTAGGAATTTAATTTTTATCTTTCAAGAAGAGTTTGTGAAGTGCCTGGAAATTAAAGTTAGAAAGCTTTGAATTTTTGAGTTAATGATCCTTCCAAAGGAAGAGCATCAGATCCCTGCTTGCTAAGCTTCCTCCCTAAAGTCACTCAAAAATATTTTAGACTCCAAACCAGTAAACAGAAAGAGAAAATTATTTTTTCCCAATATCTATGTTTCTAAATGCTTGCTATGGTGAATATTTGTATTAAATATCTATGTTTAATCTGTTTTCTACTTATTTAAATTCAAGTCTTCTTCTTACCATCACATGTATGTGTATATTGATATGCACACACGCATGTATGTATATATGCTAGGTATGTAGAGGACAGCGTAAGATGTCTACATTTTTGATAGCTGCAAAAGTTGCTAGCTGTCTGGATTGACATTAACCCAGTGGATGCACTTTGAGTAGTCTGTTCACTAATAATTCTTAATTTAATACTTTAGATTTATTGGTCCGAAATGTTGAAATGTTGGCAGCAATCCTGATCCATTTCTTTCATTCTTTTTTTTTTTTTTTTTTTTTTTAGGTTTTTGCTAAGAGGCACATGCCACACGCACTTGCAGGAGAGAGAGAGAGAGAGAAAGAAAGTGAGAAATCATCACCCAGACAGATGGCCAGGCCACAATCCCTACTCCTCCATCATCCTCTCGGGATTTTGAGCACGCATACACATGTGCCCAACATGATTTTCAAGCCACCAGGTCCAGGACTTAAACCATGATCAGCCACGTGGAAGTCCAGCACCTTAACCACTGTGCACCTGCTAGCTTCCTAATCAACTTCTTAATAAAGTTTTGATAACTATCTTAGCATCCAGACTAGAAAATAAAAATAATGCTGATTAAAAAAAAAAAAAAAAAAAAGATCTGGGCTATCCAGTGGTATGGTGCTTAAGTTCAAGTCCCAGACCCAGCAGCTTGAAAAACACATGAGGCACATGTGCATGCATGCCCAAAATCCTGACAGGAGGGAGAAAAGCAGGAGATGAGATTGCAGTGTGACCATCCCTCACAGGGGTTGCTTTTTCACTTTCTCTTTC